GCTTCAACATCACAATTAAGTTTCGTTCCTATTTTATGATGAGCGTCATCGCCAGCGTTACCATCATTACCATCAGTTACCGTTATCATATGAAAGCCATTATTTGCTGAATTCGCTGGTCGAAAAGATTATTTTACGTGCGTCATTGTTTTGGGACCTGTTCACACTCGCACAGTGTCGCGTCGTGTCGAATCGATGTGTAGAAGTAGTGATATGCTAAACTTTTTGTCTAACGAAATCGCCGCACCGTATCGTCAAATACGAAAACACCTGACAGAACCGCAATTAATAGGCAATAATATCACACGTTAATATTTTAACCACCCAATGGGGACGGTCACTATATCGTCCTATGAACTGATTGTATCCAGCTTTTTAGGTAATACAATGGGTGTGAAAGGTAACTTTACAGAGAGTACACATTCGGCTCGCAGATCTAACTTTGTTGAAGTTTTTTTTCTTTGACGTAGTTTACGGAGGGTTGGTTCCGAACAGAGCTGTGCTTTTATCCTGTCTTTGAGTTGAATTGCCATCCGGCTGTTTATGCTTGCGCCTTTTCGGTCTTCTTGGGCAGTAGCACGGCTTGGATGTTAGGAAGTACACCGCCCTGTGCGATTGTGACGCCGGATAGCAGCTTGTTCAGCTCTTCGTCATTGCGAATGGCCAGCTGTAAATGCCTGGGAATGATACGGGTTTTTTTATTGTCACGGGCCGCATTTCCCGCCAGCTCGAGAACTTCGGCAGCTAGATACTCTAACACTGCCGCGAGGTACACGGGCGCACCGGCTCCAACGCGTTCGGCGTAGTTGCCTTTACGGAGTAGACGATGGATACGGCCCACAGGAAACTGTAGTCCCGCGCGGGAAGACCTCGTCTTCGCCTTGGTCTTCGACTTTCCTCCTTTTCCGCGTCCAGACATGTTGATATCGCTTAGCGTGTAATCGTCAATTAACCTCCAACAAGCACCTCACAGGACTGGTATTACAATGATTTTGCAACTCAGCGGCTTTATAAGGGGCGCACGTTGGCTAGATGCGGCGAACCGTCCTCTCCAATGTGGCGCTGCGAGCGCTTTGGGACGCCATCGCTAATTGGTGCATTGACTTCCTCTCTTCGTAGCCCTTTCCATGTTGGCTCCCGAATTGGCTTGAGAAGCCGCCATAAATAGAAAGACACCCATGACGACGCTTAATCTTGCCGGTGTTGTGCGTGCGTAGTGTACAGTCGGCCGAACGTTTTGTCGAAAAATAGAAAAAATGCCACCCGCCCCGTCTGGTAAGGCGGTCAAGAAGGCCGGTAAGGCCCAGAAAAATGTTCGTGCTTCGGATAAAAAAAAGAAGAAGCGCAGGAGGAAGGAGTCTTTCTCGATCTACATTTACAAAGTGCTTAAGCAGGTCCACCCGGACACCGGCATCTCATCCAAGGCGATGTCGATCATGAATTCGTTCGTGAACGATATCTTCGAAAGGATCGCTGCCGAAGCGTCCCGCCTCTCACACTACAACAAAAGGTCGACCATCACGTCGAGGGAGGTCCAGACCGCCGTCAGGCTGCTGCTTCCTGGTGAGCTGGCCAAGCACGCCGTTTCCGAGGGGACCAAAGCGGTCACCAAGTACACTTCGTCCAAGTAAATACTCGGTCGTCGTAGGATCGTCGAGAAATCAAGAAATCTTGATGCTGATGAAACAACTGCAAGCTATACTATGGCTCTGTTATGAGGCCATACCAGACTCGTAAAACAGACCGACCTTACGTAAGCCGTATTGTTCGCGAATTTGTGTAAAGTTATTATAACCTGTATATATATATACCTATATATCGAGTGCGAGTATAAGGAGACGTATTTGCCCTGCGTTTGTGAATTTGTAGTAAGCTTCCTGAGGGAGTTTGTATCCGAGGTAAAATAACCCGCGGGTTTTGGATATTACTGTCATTGGTTCGGTGTCGTTCTTGAGCGCATGGGAACAACCCGGCCAGTTAGACAGAAAACCAAATAAATGACTTCATATAAATTACTTAAAAATTTTAACGTGAATGGCGGTTCTGTGAGAAATAAATTTATGATATTGATGTATGACAATATTTCTGGTCTGGAAGTTTGGCGGATATGGTAGAAATTAAACGATGCATAAGACAAAAACCCTTTGTAAGAATGTAAATAAAAAAAAAGACCCCCCTCGTATGAGGCAAAAGACGTATGCAATTGTTTTCATTTCTATCTTATACTATTAGCCGACTTCTGTATTTTTCCTACTACATTTATTCAGATTTTTTATTTCGAGTTTCGACTGGCTCCATGAAAGGTGAAATTTACAAAGAACTACTAAAGGTGTTTTCGTAATTAACGTACAAAATTTTTTAAGACACCACTGTTAATGAACGGGAAATACGTTAATAATAAATGTATTAATAAGTCCAAGCCTTTCACTCCAAATGAGCAAAATATATACGCCACCGCACAGCCCGTGTAATCGAAAGTAAACGAACAATGATTCAGATCGAACTGATCGTTTGTCTTTTAGTCAAGAACACGGCAAGTAACAAAACCAAAGTATTCGTTTATCGCTGTTGTCCTATTCGGAGTAATTCTGTGTGGTAGGTAGCAGTTACTCTGCTTACGCTTTTCTAATAAACGAATGCCACGTTACGCATCCTTGTGTTCTATATCAGTTTTTTTTTTCACAGAGAATTCAATGTTTCGTTGACTAACGCTCTCCGCTGTCCTATATTTACAGCGGAACAGTAAAAAGCATTGCGGCATATAAACTTGTGTGATGAGAAAACAATAACGTTACGAAAAGCCCGCCTTGGACTTGGAAATCCTTGATGACGATAATGACTCAAAAACCCAGTTGAAGTTTTACTGAATCCAGTTTATTTTGGTATACTTTGCTCCTTTGGAGTAAAAGGTCTCGACTTGTTAATATATTTATTGAATCCAATTTATTTTGGGTATATTTTGTTCGTTTGGAGTAAAAGGCTTGGACTTATTATTAGTATATTTATTGAATCCGGTTTATTTTGGGTATATTTTGCTCCTTTGGAGTAAAAGGCTTGGATTTATTAATATATTTATTGAATCCAATTTATTTTGGGT